TGTGTGTGTGTGTGTGGGTGTGTGTGTACGCATACATACATACCATATTTTCTTCATCCATTCATCAGCTGACTCCATAACCTGGCTATCATGCGTAGTCCTGCAAGAAACATGAGAGTTGTTTTAGTCAGGGAAAACCAAAAGGCCTGATAAGAACAATGTAGAGGAAGAAAAGTTTATTTGGGGCTCACAGTTTCAGAGATTGCAGTCTAAAAACAGCCAGCTGCACTGCTCTGGGTCTAAGGCAAGACAGAACATCATGGCAGAAGACAGAGTTGGGGGATAGCATCTGAGGATGCGACCAACAGGAAGCAGAGAGAACATGTTCTGTTCACCAGGGATAAAATACATCCACCAAAGGCACACCCCAGTGAGCTACCTCCTCAGCCGCATCCCATCTGCCTAGAGTTAACATCTCATTAATCAATTCAAGTGGATTAAGGCCCTGAATAGGTTAAACTGTCATAACCCAATCATTTTACCTCTAAACTTTTTTGCATTGTCTCACASGTGAGCTTAAATAGCTGGGGGACACCATATCTAAACCACAACATTTTGCCCCTAAAAGCTCATGACCATATAMTAATATGAAATATATTTAGTCCAATTCTGAGAGTCCCCATAGTCTTAATAGCTCCAGCTTTGTCCAAAAATCCATGTCCAAAGTCTCCTCTAAGACTAAAGCAAACTCTTAAGAGGCTGTCCCCTGTAAAAATTCAAAGCAAGTTACATATATCCAATATATAAAGGCAGAGTAAGCATTTCCATTACACAGGGAGAAATCAGCACATGGAATGAAGGAATGGGACCAAAGCAAGACCAAAATCCAGCTGGGCAAACAAGGCCTTTGAGCTTCATGTCCCCCATGAGGCACATTGCATGATGATGTTGTCTCCAAAGGGATTGTGTACCTCTACCCCTTTGGCCTTGCTGGTTGAAGTCCAAGCGGCCTTTCTCTTGGATTTTACCCAATTCCTATAGTTTTCATTGGCAGACTTCCCAGGTTACTGGTATCTCTCAATCTTGGGGATCTGCAATGAAGCTTTGGCTTCCATCTTATATCTTCAGGCATTGTCCTTTCAGAGACTGCCCATAGGGAATCCGACTCTGCTATGCTTGTCTAGGCTCCCAAGCTATCCTTTGAAATCTCAGTGGAAGTCTCCAAGACCTCTAACTCCAGCATCCTGCAGTCCTGCAGAACTGGCACCATTTGGTGGATGCCCAGGTCTGCCACAATCTGAACAGTAGCCAAGCTTCCTGCAGCAACTTCTGAGTATCTGCATTGCTGAATATCGTGAAACATCTTCCTAGGTGCCCCTGTGCAAACAGGGGCCTCATATTCTCTTCTCAAAGGCATTTTTAATTTTACATCCTTGATCCTGAGATGGGTGTGGTCTTGCCATTTTCTGAAGTGCCCTAAAGCCATCTTCTCTATTGTCTCTGGTTAAAATAGTCACCATTACTTTATTGGCTATAATAACTATAACAACCACACCTTCCTTAGCCAGTGTTTAATTCTCATTTTTCTTGCCAAACTGCAAGTTTTCAAATCTTCCTTCTCTGCTTTCTGTTCCTGAGTATCATGGTAAACTTGGCTAACAGCCCCTAGCAATATCCATGYCATACTTCCTGAATGCTGTGCTACTTTGAGATTTCCTCTACCAGAGTCATAAGTTCTTCATCTTTAAATTCAGTCTCAGGAAAGTCTCAGCACATGGGCAAAATTTGACAACATCTTTGCCACAATGTAACATGAATGACCTCTAGTCCATTTGCCAATAAAGTTCTACTTCTCCTCTGCAATCACATGAGCTCAGTCTTTACTGTCCATTTGCATTTGGGTCTTCTGAACTCCACCAGAATCAGCCATAAAGGTCCACTTGCAACTAAAAGTTTTCCAGCTTGCACCTCTAAACTTTTCAAAATTCCTGCCACAAATTCCAAAGAGTTCCCAAATCTCCTGAACCAAATGATCAGGATATTCACAGAAATGACCTCAATTCTCAGTACCAATTTCTGTTTTTAGTCAGCATTTCTGTTGCTGTGACCAAAAGACCTGACAAGAACAACATGGAGGAGAAAAATTTTATTTGGGGGCTCATGGTTTTAGAGGTTCCATCCAGGGTGATCTGACTCAATCTCTCTTGGCCTAAAGCAAAGCAGGACATCATGGCAGAAGGGCATGGGAGAGGAAAGTAGGTCAGGACATGGCACAAGAAGCAGAGAGAGCTCCACTCACCACGAACAGCATATAAACTCCAAAGCCATGCCCAGTGACCCACCTCCTCCAGCTGCTCTTCACCTGCCTACAGTTACCACCCAGTTAATTCCTATCTGTGACCAATGCACTGATTAAGCTAAAACTCTCATAATTCAATCATTTGTCATCTAAACTTTCTCGCATTACATTAACTTTTGGGGGACACCTCATATCTACACCATAAAAGGAGTACTACAGGTATCTCTTGGATTTCATTTCCTGTGGATATTTTCCCAGGTGTGATATTGCTGGATCATATAATAATTCAATTTTTAATTTTTTAAACACTCTCCATTCTTTTTTCCATATGGCTGTACTAATTCACATTCCCACTATTAGTACATAAGAGTTCCCATTCTTCTAAATCCTCACTAGTATTTATTCTGTGTCTTTTTGATACTAGCCATTAAAACTAGAGTGATATTTCATTGTGAAATGATATTTCATTGTGGTTTTGTTGTGCACTTCCCTGATTAGAAAATTGAGCATTGTTTTCCTATACATGTTGGCCATTTGTGTGCTTTCCTTTAAGGATTCAGATAATTTGCCCATTTTTTTAGTTTGATTATTTGGGTCTTTCTGCTGTTTGAGTTCCTTGTGTATTCTGGATATTAACCCCTTGTCCGATGAATAATTTGTCAATAATTTCTACCATTCTGTTATTTCCTTTTTAATGCTGGTTGCTTCCTTTGCTGTGAAGAAGCTTCTTTGAGATAATCTTATTAGTCTATTTTTACTTTTGTCGTCCAAGTTTTTGGGGTCTTATCAAAAAAAAAAATCTGCCTACCCCAGTACTACTTAGACTAATATTGCTAAAAGTGAACATCCTTATCTTGCTCCAGATCGTAGGATGAAATGCTTTCAATTCTTTTCCACTAAGTATGATGTTGGCCATGGGCTTTTCTTACATAACCTTTATTGTGCTGGGGGTCCTTCTACACCTATTTCTTGGGAGTTTTTATCATGAAGGGATAGTGAATCTTATCAAATGCTCTTTCTGCATCTTTTGACATCCCAGTTAGACGATAGGGCTTACAGACAATATGTTTTTCAAAAAGGGCAAGAAACTTAGGGAAAGACAGGGCAGGGAGGTACCACATATAAAATATTTGGCAGAGTTTTGGGTACATGATATATCTTTAAAATGTTAGTTCTTTCTCTGTTCATGGTGTCCTGGAGGGAATTCCCATCTTAAGGGCAAAGAAATGGAGCTACAAACAGAACTCTGGGCTGACCAAGAAATGTCCTAGCCTGTTGTCCTCTAATTAAGGCAGGAGGAGGAGCAGAGCAGGCTATATCATCACAACAGCTAGATGGATAAGGGCAGGGAGTGGCAGGCAGCTCTTAATATCTTCAGTAGAAAGTGGGATGAACAAACAAGGACTCAACAAGATGAGTGAGGACTTTATGTGAATCAGATATTTTTAGAAAGGTTAAGTAAGGAGAGAATTCAGAAGGTAATATGCTGGCACTTTCAGTATTCTTTAGCAAAATGCTTCTTGAAGTGTGTTCCAGAGCTCTGTTTCTCAAACATTATTGTGCACATAAATGACCAGAGAATTGTATTAAAATGCAGATTCTGAGTTGGTAGTTCCAGGGTGAGGACCAACATGATCCCAGAGGATGCTGATACTGTCAGTTCAGGGTCTAAGCTGAGTTGTGAGGGATTTTAGGAATTTGTTTCCTTTAAATACCTACAGAGACTCTGAGCCAAAGCCTCTGTTCAAGAGCATATAGGACACTCCAATTAAACAATATCTTGAATGTAAGAAAGGTTAATGGATTTCTTACATTCAATATTTTGTACAGATATTAATATGCTAATATGACTGCAAAACTCTAGCTTTAGTGGACAGAATAATACACTAAAATTAACTCTTTCTGAACTTTCTAGATCACAGGAACTAATTTTTTTTTGCARCATCTATTAATATTTTACAGGACCCTAAGGAGGAATAGAAACCCTCCTTAGGAGACTCTAAACTAAACATTCTTGCACCTACTGAAAGAGAGCAACACCAATCCCAAAGCTACTGGGAAAACTTGGCCTTAGGCTCACATGGGCTGGGCCTTTCTCCTTGCTTCATCAGGTCTAATAATAAGGAAGAAAGACATGGATATGTGCCTTTGTACAGTATATTTACTTTGCTTCATTTCTAGGTAAAGACATCCTTTCCTAAAGTAGACGAGAAGGAACTGAGTGAATACTGCTTTTCTGGTATCTACATCCTCTCCCTCTTTACATATGGTTATCACTTCACAAACAAGACCTGGGAAAACATTCATTTTATGGGCAAGGTAAATTGGCTATGTGTTGGGTTCTGGGGAGGTTGGGTGGTAGCTACTAAAGAAGCTTGGGTCTTGAAAATGGTGGGAGTTGACCTGATTTGTTTTGGCCTGATGTTCTCTTCTGCCATTTCACCCCTAACCCATGCTGCCATACTGTGTGAAGCCCTGCTGGGAATATCAACCACCTATGGGCATCTCCCCAAGGAGCGCAACCTGCATTCTCACTTGTACCTGTCTGCCCACAGAACAGTGGCTAATTGTCTTAAAACAAAAAATGAGAGGTTAATATAAATCATTTCAGTAGCCACAGTGATTGTGTTGTGCTGACTTCAAAATCCCTCCCCAAAGCCCTTTTYACAAACTTGGAAAAGATGATCATGGTTCCTTATAAGGAATGGAGGCCTTGTTGGTTGTTGCTTCAACACTTACCAATCTGAGAGCTCTGTGAGGAAAGGAACTGACTGGCTGGGAATGGGGCTGTGGCTTAGAAGTCACACTGAGTCTGAGCCCTAAGACAACTTCACTGCTGTGCTTTRCCATAGCGCCACCTGCAGGTAATCAGGAGTAGAGAAACAAGCTTGATAACAATATCAAGAGCAGTCTTACAAAAGGTTTTAAAACTATGTCCACTAAGGGAAAACACATTTTAACCCTATTTAAAATATGGTGATTTCAAGCAAAACAAACATCAAAACATATATTGTGGCAGCTCCAAATACAGTAGTATGAGTACACTCTTTTCAGTATGGACCCTCTAACTCAAACTCAAATGTTTTCCTKATTTCAATATCTCAGACTCCCTTTCATCCTATCACAGTCTATTTTGTTTCTCTGAAGAAACTAGTTCACATTTTGAGTGACATAAGAGCACTGTATTTATAGTCTTAGAACTCCAGTGCATGATCTGGTATTTCCAAAGCTTGGGTGATAACTCCTTTACCTCTGGAGCCTTCTTGACACGTGCAGTCAGATAAGGTTTCCATTCCCCACAGGAAGTGGATGTTTTACAAATTATTAATTCCCAATATTAGTAAAGGTATGGGGGAGAAGGGACATGTACTGTTATGACAATGTGTTCCAAGAGCCTTAAAAATGGGCATATCATGGTGTTCAATTACTCCATTTTTAGGATTTAGAAATGACTGGCTAAGGTGAGTGAGAGTGATTATATAAGGCAGTTCATGCCAGGGACAATGAAATGGAAACAATGTAGGACTCTCTTAATAAACCTGGAGKATGTTCTCTAGGGATTGTTAAATGAATTATTATATGTACAATTTAACTCCACTTCTTTGTAATTAAAAAATTCTCAGAGAGCACTGGAAGGATATGCCACATATAGTGTAGCAATTTCTGAGTGGTGACGTGTGATGGTTTTAATTTTCTTCTTTCCTTCTATCTGTACCTCCTAATACTTCTTCTGTGGCCATGCACAACTCATGTAATAAAAAAACATTTCCACATTTAGCATTCAAAGATTCCCTACATGCCAATAAGTTCTGAGGTGACTGGAAATTATTCCTATAAGAGGATCACTGCGTGTTTTATCATTTAATAAGAAACCTTCCCATGCATGTGCATAGTCTGCCCACCTTGGTGAGGTTGATTTACTGGGATTATTCCACAGCTTTCCCCTAAGTGAATCATGTAGAAGGCCTGTTACAGATGTTCTTGGCTTGACAAAAGTGTAAAAGGCCAGAGACATTCATTATTCCTTCACCCTTTTACCTGCTTCCTCTCACCTYCCYTYATCCCTCTTCCTCACTCCACACATTCATTTAAGCAGGAGAATAAGAATGCCAAGTTCCAAAAGTGCAGTGGGCAGTCACTCACCAAAGGCCTTTCTGACTTTGGGACTATGGCAGTGAGGCTTCAAACTCTCTTCTAATCCTTTGTTTGTATTTTCCCCACAACCATATTCCCAATAGACTATGAATTCAGTTCATTTAGAAAATTGCGCAGRATGCAGTCAACATAACAGCTGTGGTGACCTGGATGAGGTTGGAAGAAACCTGTAAAGTATCTCCTTGGACCATAAACAACACATTTTCCTTGCTCTTGCAGATCCGGGGCACCAACGYCGGGTGGACATTGGGCTACATGCTGAACATGACCAACAAGATCCCAGCTGAGCAGCCATTCACCGCACCTCTYTCCCACTCAACTTATGTGTTCCTTATGTTCTTCTTCTCCCTGTTGTTGGCCATAGAGATCACTGCAGCCTTGTTTATCCTTAACAAGCCTGCACATTTGTGGGAAGAAATGGTATAGCAGGAGCACCTGAATTCTTCTGCCTGGACTCAGAACAAACCTGCCYAGGGAGTGCCTCCCTCCATGCAGCAGTGTGTGGTGGTGTCCAGCAGCCTCCTCCTGTGCCTGCCAGGGTGTCTTGACTAGCACAAAGCTTCCTTGGCTTCCTCTGAGGCATTTCCTTGGAAGGCAATTCACCACCCTCTGCTTCAAGAACTTCCTGACAGACGCTGTCTTTTATGAGTCTTTCCCACCTACCTTGTCCTCCTTTGTATTGTGTGCTTGTGCAGGTCTTTGAGACCTGCCACTTTTCATGATTTTTGCTTTATAAAAGAACARTATTGACTCTGTCTGGAAGAACTGAGAGTCCTGAGTCCTGTGCTGGGAAGTGGATTGGCTAAAAGAAGAATCTCAGGAACTGGTTCAGTCTTATTCTTTGAGGATCCCTCTCTACCCCCTGCTTCCCATTTATTAAGAAAGCCATACAATGCCTTAGGGGAGTGCAGACCCTATGTCCTTCTCAGCCTTGCCCCTTAGGGCAGGAGAATTTTCTAGAGTAGGCAAACGTGTGCTAAGACCAAAGAGTTTTGCAAAGGGATCTGTGCCAATGCAGTTAATAAAATTCTTAATCCTTTTGACATAGGAGTGTGAATTTGTCACACATTCCTAGGTGATGTTCAATGCTACCAAGTGGAATGCTCACACAGGAGATTTTTGAAAAGCAGATGCATGTATAGGCATTCAGATTTCAAGAGAAACTATGAAATAGGTATATACATGCTAGGAAGAAAAACACAGTTACAAGTCAGGGTTGGGAAAGTGCACCCTCCAATGCATCTTTGGAGTTTTGAGCTCATTATGTTAAAACACATATAACATAAAATTCACCATCTGAACACTCAATTCAGTGCAGTTCAGTGGCAATCAGTACATTTGCAATGATGTGCAAACATCAGCTCTGTTAGTTCAATAACATTTCATCACCAAGAAATTTCAGAGACAAGACTGTCACAAACCCCTCAGCTAACAGCTGAATGTGCTAATCAACTTCACTTCAAAGAGGACCAGTGGAGTTTTAAAGGAAGGCCAAATTTTATTGTCCAGAGGTGTCATTTAGAGATAGGGTGGTATCAGAATGGAGTGGTATGCTTTTGCCCTGTCAAAGTAATTACATGCCATAATGGACCAGGAACCCAGTCTGAAAGTGTTGTTACCATCTCTGTCACCCAAACTTGGGCTTCCTTTACTTATTCCATGGAATATTTCATGAAAGAACTAGCTATRGGCCTTATCATGGAGCCATGAGAACCTGTGCTTGCTTCCTTTAAGGATTGCTGCAAGGCTGAGGCAGGAGGATTGTGAATTCAATAGTTACCTGTTGAGTGGGACTGAGTGGTGATGTCTTATTCTCACTACTACCAGGCTCACTGTCCATGTCTGGATCTGGGGACTGACTGTTGAGCTGATGGGGGAAGGAAGAATCTCCCAGAAACAAGAAGCCAAATGTCCCTAAATCTGTTGAATAACCAAGCCATTTTTATAACAGGTGAATATAAATTTAATAAAGCTGAGGAAGGAAGCTTTCTTTTCTGTTACTCACAATCAAACTTAGAACCTTAATTAAGAATGAGGAACCCAACTGGAACATGTTAAAAGTTTCCTCAGTGGCAGTTGCCTTTATTATTACAGCTGCTACTGACGGAATTTCTGCTATACCAGGTTCTGTGCTCAAAGGCACATTCCAATTTCTCATTCCAATCTCACAGCGATCCCAAGAAGGTAGGTATTACCCCTCCTAATGCCCATGGCAGAGCTGAAACTCAAACTCACATCTTCTGCCCAAACCTATTGCTATTCTTTTTCTGAACACTTATCCTCAGCAGTTGGAATTCTAATTTACAAATTTCCTTCAGGCAACATAAATCTTATTTCATTTCTGTCTTGTTGCTAAAAACAAACAAAAACAAAATTCTTCAAAGTATATGGGAGACAAACTCCACTTGTTAAAAGGTCAAATTATGAAATTATGTACAATATCTAATCTCAATTTTATTCAAAAGAAGGTTTTTTTGTTTTGTTTTGAAGTAGATCCAAGATTTGCTTTGGGCCATTCTGGGTGGAGTAGGCGATATAATATGGGTCCTTATCAACTAATTTTAACATCGGATTGGTCCCTGGTTGTAACTGATTACTATTTATCACTAGGTTTGCACTCAGGACTCAAAACCTGGTTCTTGATAACCCTATTTCCCTATAAAGTGGGAAATTTTTTTTTCTGTGAATCCTCAGGGAAAAGAAATCAGCTAAGTGATTTCTTTTGTAGACAAAATAAATGATGTTGGGGCTGGGTTTGTAGTTTAGTAGTGAAGTGCTTGCCTAGCATGAGGAAGGCACTGGGTTGATCCTCACACCACATAAAAATAAATAAAAAATAAAGGTATTATGTCCATCTACAACAACAACAAAATAAATAAATAAATAATGAATGAAGTTATTCAATTAGGCTGTATGTGAGTGGGGGGAGAGAAGGGTTTCAACTAATTCAATTCTTATAAATATAAAATGTAATATTAGTAGAATTTTTAAAAACTATACTTCATTTTATTGGTACATTAGTCAAGGTTCCTGTAAGAAACAAGATACATACTTCAAACTGGGTGACCAAGGAGAGTTTAACAAAGTGCTGAACCCACAATATTTTCATTTCAATATGTAATAAATAAAAAATTATTAATATAATCCTAAGTTTTCATAATCTGATGTGTGTATTGCATTTTACAGGGCATCTTAATTAAGACTCTTTAAATTTCAAGTGCTTAACACTAGCTATGTGTGACCAGTGATTACCACTTGAATAATACACATCTAAAAACACATTCAAAATTAAAAAGACAGGTGATAAGCCTTTGTTTTCCCCTTGCATGTGTGTGTTGTGGGGGTTGTGTTACACAGCTATAGATGCTGTAATACTCTTGTTATAATATTTGTTATATGTAGGTTAACATTATTATTAAAATAGCCTTTAAGATCCTAGCTGAAAATGTCACTTGAATCCTGAAGTTTTGCTGCTTTCATGTGAACACAGAGATGCCTGTTACATGGGCTAACATGACTGATGATAGTCTTGGGGAATATTTCACCTGGATTCAAATATAATACAAGATAATTCTTGATGTTTGCATTCCTCAAAATGCAAATATGAACATCAAAATAAATATCAGTCTTGTAAGGATTCTCAAAATAACAGTTTTCCACATGATTGTAAAAGTACTATTAAAATATATTCCCATTCTCAATTTGAAAGATAAATTGAATTTCACCCAAATTGGTCTGGTCCCAATTCAACTTTCAGTATTTACTATCTGGTTAGAGAATGATAGTCGCTAATAATTAGCTGCACTTATTAACCATATGATTCTTTCAGCTGGTTCTGTGTGCATCCTGCGTGGGTAAAGAGAGTACCCGTCACAGGTATGGGCTGCTTTCAAAATAAAAGCTATGAAAGTAGAATTACAAAATAAACACAGAAAGCCAGAAATATTTTAAAAGCAGGGGCATGACAGGTTGAGCAGACCAGATGGGTTTGATTTCTAACAAAGGGAAAATGCTGTGCTTGCTTTATATATAGCAGTACAGACCAGAGGGAATCAGTAGGGAGCCTTTTCATGAACAACAGGATAGGTGTTGGGGTAAATGGGTTAGGGTTTGGTGCTTGGCAGGCTGTGCCCATCTCCAGAGGGCAGTGTTTGTACTTGGAGCTGTGAGCTAGGTCAGGGTGCCAGCATGATCTAGGCTTTCTCAAACCAGGGAATTTCATCCAAGAGTGCCCAGAATAGCAGCTTGCTTGCCTTAATGGGTCAAACAATGTCCGTAGTTCACAGATGGCTTCCAATAAGTTGGTATTAGTTTGGTTTTTAATTGCAACCTCAAAGTTTTCATGTTTGCAGGTCTGCAAGTCAGCTGAGAACCTCTACTCCTGCTTGTGAGTCTGGATCAGGCCCATTACCTTATTTCTTATTTTCCCTGCCCAGTGGCTTCTTAGAACACATTCCCATAATGAATGTAGAGGCTCATGAGAGTGACAGAGAAAGAGGATGTCTCTTATGGCTTCAACCAGGACATACCCCTTCTCAATCCCATCTATGTCCCATTGACAAAACCAAGCCATTTGACCAAGCTCATTCTCAGAGGGCAGGATGGAAAAAGAAGTACTGGTAATTGAATTGTAGCAAATTATATTTCATGCTTGTATAATTATGTTAAAATGATCCCAAATATTATATGCAATTATAATATATTAATAAAAAACAGAAAGTAAAAAAAATTGTTCAGTCTTGTGGTAGAGTACTCATATCATCAAATCTATGATATGACTAAGAAAGTAGTGTCCTTCTCAACATTATACCCTGAATGAAGAAAGAGTATAGGAATATGGTTGGGGTGGGATCATATGATGGAATACAAGGGCAGGGAAAACAGTCTGTCAGTGTATGTCTAAAGACCTGAAGGAGAAGGTGCCCTGCCAATGGGTGTAAATGAGTCATTTCCCTGAAAGTTCTTTCTCCAAAGCAATGAAGAACACCCCCTATAAATAAGTCAAATTAACTCCTCACTCACTGGTTACATATTCTCCAAGCTGTCTTGCCATGTCAATTTTTCTATAAGATAAAAATGAGCTGGTATTGTTAATAAAAAGGCATTATGCCTTCTATAGCCAGCTTTTACACTTTGGGTTTCACAGGAGTCTCATACTTTTTATCCCTGAGGTGTTATAGATTCCCTATAGAATGTAGAGGCAATGTGGAGACCACAGGAATGACATGGACATCATGCTCCCATTCCCGATTCTATGTGCCGCAGTCTGGCTGGGCACAAAATCATGAGCCACTCACACCTTGTAGATTCAAACAGCAACTCTTTATTCTGGAACTGTCACCGGCACTCTACACACAGGTTCTGGGCAAAATCCACGTTTCCACTAGGCTCTGAATTCCAAATACTCTCTGAATCCCACAAGAACT